CAGTACTTTTGGAGTCGACTTCGTCGTGTGTGCCTAAAAAATGGGTTAATCCATTTGTACAGAACTATTCAATTTACAGAATTCTTACACCCTCTCACATGAGGGTGGGTCCCACACAATAAAAAAGAAAAAAAATTACACCCCCCCCCCACTACCCCTTTGTGAGTATATGTAGGTTGTCTGTATATGTACATGCAACATGTTTCCTAAAAAATTTTGGTGGTAGGTCTACGGCCTTAGAAAAACTTTTGTTCGTAAGAGTGGCATGAGAGAGAGCTAGAAGACATTATTTGAGAAGCTTTATTTTCAATAAATCTGAGATTGGATATATGAATCCTTTCTTATTATATTGAAACATCATAGAACCCCCCAATAGGGGATAAAATACACAAAAGTAGAGCAAGAACAGAGGAAAAGGGTTCAAGAAAAATTGGATCCAAACAGGGAACAAAAAACAAAACACAAAGATAGGAAGACACTTGCATGTATGAAAAGAAATCTCAAACTGCTGTCCTAAAAATTCCGATGAACGAAACCACCAAAGCGAAGAATCCGACCACTGCCGATGGGAAAGAATTGAAGGCACCCCAGTTAGGAGATGGTGGCGAAGCAGGCGCCATGTGGTTGTGGTTGTGCCCCTCGTGTGCCGCCACGGCCACCATCAGAATGGCAATACAGGCTGCAAAAGTGGCGGTGAAGAACTGGAAAGCCATTCTTGAAATGTAATTTGGTGGTTGGAATTGAGTATTGGAGGTTTCACTTGATTTTGTGTACCAATTTGTTGGTGATTATATACTATATTCTGCTAGAAATGTTTGCCCTAGTCACAGTTGTACGAGCTACTATTCCAAGTTGGCAAGTTGTACCATCATTTTCAGGTTGACTCTAAAAACTTTTCTATTCCACGCTCTGATTGCACATCATTAAATTAATGATTGATTTAACGCATAATTGGTTTTAAGTTAACTAAATAATTCGTTGCGAATGATTAACGATGATGAGTTAATCGGCATTATTTAGAGGATTTTGAAGTATTGTTGTTGTTTGAATGTTAGTTAGCCGTTTTCACTTTCGCATTTTAGAAGATTTTAATGTATCACCGATTGTAACTAAATGTTTCACCGAATATAACGTTGTATGTTTGAGTCCATCTTCCCTTTTTTCTTTTTTTATTAATTTAGCTTCCTTTTTGTTAACTTTTATTTTTAAAAATAAATTCATTTTCAACCACACATTTACACAATAAAAATTTTTATACGTAAATCGAAAACTTTTTCATATTTTTTAACTACACATTTTTTTAAAAATTACTATTCAAAACATTGTGTTTCACGAATAATGATCACCAAGCACGGGCTTATTTGTGAAGGATTAATGATGATTGTTGTTCAAAGAAGATTTTTGAAGTATTGTCGGTTATGACCAATGTTTTCAAAATCGATATGAGCGTTGATTCAAAAATGATCGAGCATCAAATGGTTATCGTCAAAATTGAATTATTTTTGAATAAAATTAACGTTATTTAATGAGTAATGATATTGTATATAATTATTTGCAAATTGGTGTGAAAGAGAAAAAAAAGACAATTTAGAAGAGGGAGACAGAGAACGAAATCAGTTAAATTTTAGTATAATATCATGTCGTCAACCTGTAAATAATTATATACATGTAGCATTACTCTTACGTACATGTAAATAATTGATCTTCTAAATCTGTTCTTGACCATGGCAGCTTCACTTTCGTGAGTCAATTAGTTTTGGGCTCACTATATTTAATATTTCATCTCAATTTTCAACTATTCAGACTGGTTGCCTCTCGTTTTCAACTCGGCAGGTCAATCAAAATTTTAAACACGGTTTATAACGTGTAGTTTGTGTTCCTATTTTCGTGCTTATTATTATGGCTATATTTGTTAAGAATAGAAGAAAATGGATAAAATATTATGGTTGACTTAAGGGTCAACATAATTTAATCATGCTTGAAATTTAGCCCATGTTTGGACTCTATTAAAAACTAATGTGGAGAAAAATATATTTTGAAAGAATGATTTTTTGAAAGAATTTTTTTTTGGTTTTACGTATAATATAATTTTATTGAAAAATAAGTTATTTAAAATAACAGAGAGAAAAATGCATTTTTAAAATAATAAAACTCAAACTGATTGAAAATAAGAGAGAAAAATGCATTTTCAAGCAAACAAGAATAGAAATTAATGGCAAAGTAGAATTGGAGTCTGGAGAAATGCATGATTATCGCCAACCAAATTCTTAGAAAATTTGTGTAATTGATGGATACCAAGATTTTTGACTAACAGTTTTGAGAGAAAAAAAATGAGTTTTGAAATAGTGATTTTTTGAAGAATGTATGATTAAAGAATAAGAAAAAAAATTGATTTTTTGTAAAACAGGGGCTACATTAAAAAAAAAAAAAAAAAAGACGAAGAAAAAATTGAAAATGCCTCTTGGTGCTATTAGGTCCAAAAATAACTTCGAAAAATTGAAAAAAAAAAAAAGAAAAGAAAAGAAAAAAAAGGCATGTGCCTCTTGGTGCTATTAGACGTTCAACATATGAGTTAATTGCTATATGTGAAACTTTTTGAAAATGCCTCATACCTAGACCATGGGCACAACATCTTTTAGAACACTACAATAATAATAATAATAAAAGAATATACTTATTAGTGAATTTACAAATATAAACATGCTTATTCACAATTTATTTATTTTAGTTTTGATTCGACGTTAATTTTGTGGATGAAAAATAATATCAAACATTTTTATATTTCTGATTTATAATTATTTTTTATTTGCTAGAAATGGAATATAAGACGAAGACAAAGTTAAAAAGAAATTAATTGTATTCAAAGTCTTAATTTGTCATACTTGGATTCCGACTAAGACTCTATAGGTTACGTTGTCGTTGTCGTTGTCGTCGTCGTTGTCATTTCTCTAAGTTGTCGTCACAATGTGATTTTTACTTTCAAGAGAGCGAATTTATAGCATGAACCGTGCTGCTCTGCCAGGTCAGTAAAAGACCTGGTAGAGCAAATGTGTCTTGGGGGTGGGTTATAAAACATTTGGGTGGGTGGGTGGGTGGGGGGGGGGTTTAATGAGTGAGACAACTACTCTACCAAGCCTTTTACAGGCCTGATAGAGTAGATTAATCATTTATAGCATTATGTTAAATAAAAAGAGAATATCTAAAATTATTTCGGACTTTGTGTAGTTGTCTTCCATCAAATAAAACTAATCACATGTTTTGGCTCCATTAAAATGAGATTTTAGAGAAAATAAATATTAAAATAGTGATTTTATAGAGAATATATGGTTAAAAAATAAGGAAAATTGTGAATTTACTTATAACATTATTTTATGAAATAATGTGTAGTTGAAAATGAGATTTAAAAAAATACATTTTTGAAAAAAAAGGGAAACTATTCAAGGATACGAACTTTTGCATATTGTGTTATTTAGACATTCAACTAATTCTCTTAATATTTCTATGCGAAGTTCTTACCTGTATAAATTCAAGTATTACAAAACTAAGAGCGTATTTGGTAGGGATTTTTGGGGGTAGATTTGATTTTTGATTAGTGATATGATTTGAAATGTGTGGTTAAAAAAGAAGAAAAAAGTATTGATGTGATGTATAATATTTTTTTATTGAAGAATGTGTGGTTGAAAATGTGATTTGATTTACTGTAGAAAATTTTAATCCCTCCCAAACAGGGTCTAAAAATAAAGAATCTCGTGAAAATGCAGCTTGAATAATCTAACACACTCCTCAATTTTTTTCTATGCAATCACATTTAATTATTATATTGTGGAAGTCATTAAATATATTGAGATAGTGGAAACATAAATACCACTTTTTAACACACGAACTTGACAATTAGTTGTTAAATACTTGACTACATAGTTCAATTATAAAAATACTGTTTCGAGTCATCACATTTGGTCGTGGCTCTCGAAAGAACCACAAATTAATAAATAAATACTCTTAAGTTACTACATTCTTCTACTCTAAAAATTCCTTAGTTAAAAAATTGTATTATAATCTCTTTACATTGGTCGAGTCCCTTTGATTAAGTGATGTGAAACATGGCCACTGCAGCTCAAACAAAGGAATTTTAGCTTATTTTAGTCCTTAATTATAAAGTGCTTTTTTAGCTTATTTAAAACAAAGAACAAAAAGATATATAAAATAGAAGCTTCCCCAAGGTTATATAGTTTAAAAACGTGTGTTGTCATGCCCATCACTCGACATTTGATTGGTCCATTCTTCAATTTTACATCACGAGCCCTTGACTAGGGGTGGGCAATGGGTCAGGTTTGGCCCAAAATCGACCCGACCCGATCCAATATACCCGATTTTAGATTCTTTCACAAACCGACCCGACCCGGATCCTACCATAAACCGACCCGACCCAGATCGGGTCGGGGCAGGTCCAACATTTTTTTTTTCCCTTTTCAAACCGACCAATTTATACATTTTTTCTAATTTAATGAAGTCCCTAAACCCACCATGCTACTACTATTCCAACTCCTTTTTGTGTTATATCTTGCAGGACCAATATACATTTTAACTCAGTAGAAGTTAATAGCTACCTTAGCAACAGAATCTTTTGCTGGTTTTGCAATTTCTTTCACTAAACACTCTCCAATTGGGGCTTTGTGCTTTTTCAGTATAGTGGCTGCTTTGTGAAGAAGCTCGGCACGCTTCCAGAACGGAGTTTTTGCCCTTGCCTTTTGTGCAACTTTTGTCATTTCTATTACTTTGTTCACCTCTTCTTGTGTACAAGCTGGATAAAACCATGACCATAAACAAGATTAAGTAATTTTTGTTAGCCCAAGAATAACTAACCAAGAGGGGGGTGAATTGGTTATTGAAACTTTTTCGTTAACTACTCAAGATTTTAATCTAATGATCACACAAATGATAAAGAGATAATCTAAACACAAATAAGTACGTAGATGAAATGATACAGGTTTGCACAAAGTAAGACGATAAGTAAAAGGGTTAGAGAGTGCAAATGATATGATATGGAGGTTCGATCCAATACAATGATATACGTCCCGTTACCAAGCTCTCCGTCATGAGCAAGACTTTTTTCACTATGTTGATTGACTTATGGTGCAATCCAACCCCTTACAACGCTTTCGGTGACTTACAATCAAGGAGCGCCGATCCTTTTACAATGTTGAGCTTTCCGGGACTTCAACACGACCCACAATTTCAAGATGATTTTACAAGTGAAATCTTCTCTTCTTATTGAATGATAGATTCAAGGTTGATAATAAAAAGAGAAAAGACAAACACTTCAATAGATGATAATGTGTATAGCTCAAAGTGTTGAAATGAAAAACTTCTTGAAGAATCAAAGATTTTCACAAAATTAATCGCTCAAAAGTTTTTCAAGAATTTAATAATATTGACCTTCTTAATGATGGAGATAAGGTGGTTGTGATCAATAAAAGCCTCTCTTTTATGCTCAAGAATGGTTATTGTAAGTGTAGAAAGAATGAGGTTTTTATAGCACTTAAATGGTCAAAAAATCTACCTTATCGGACGCATCGTACTGGACGTTCAGTAAATACCGGACGATCAAATATCCGTTAATTTTGTCAGAAAATTAGAACTTTGGAAATTTGACCGTTGGAGCTAAAAATTGGGATACCGGACGTCGGGTATGCGTAACGGACGTCTAGTACGCCACTTTTGGCTCGGAACGTCTTTGTTTCTTATTTTCATCAAATGTACTCGATGGACGTTTTAAAATGTTTTTCAAAGTGTTGTTATGTTTTAAACATACATGTTCCGATTTTTACTTTTGAAAACATATTTTTCGAGTAAAAACATTTTTGTCGTGATTTTTCGATCGTAAATTTAAAAACTTTGAGCTTATCACGATTCATTACCAAGTATTAAAATGTTTTACCTTTACATATAATCGTGAAAAGTCTAACTACTTGGTTTGAACATTTTTGACGTGCATTGCTTGACGGTACTTCGACTTTTGACTCGATTTTCATTGAGGCATTTTTTGCGGGTTTTGCAATATCATTCTTCATGGCCTTGAATGATTGATCTTGTTTCCACGTTGGCCATTGTATGCAAATTACTTGACCTTGAACTTTGTGCCATCAAATATATTCATGTGCAATAATTACTATGGACACTTAAAATCAATTTGTTAGTAATAAACATAATTTGTTTCTGATAATCAAAACGAGACGTCAACCATATGTCAACAAAAAGGACACAAAATTCTAGTAATATGGCCCAAATAAGTGCACAATAANAACCTTCACTTGTACTTCATTTGAGTGTGAATAATAATCTTTATAATTTTGAAAGCTTAAACACTCAATTCAATTTGTTAATAAATAAGATGGACTTGTTTGTTATAATCAAAACATTAAGGTCATGATCAATCATAGGTCAACAATTTTCTCTAATCAATTAAAATTAAGATTATAATCTATGATTTGCATGAAAACAAGAATTGCAGAGATAAACATGCCATTGAATTAGCCCACCAAAAAAGATATATTCACACATTTTCAGAATTCAATCACTTCAATTAAATTCAAGAACTTCAAAAATTTTAATATGAAGAAGAAAAACGTGGATATTTTAATTTTTCCATAAATCGGTACCAATTAATATTCAGTATCACAAAATCTTTATTCCTCTCATAAGAAAAGGAACTCATGGGAAGGTCCATGAGTGCTCCATCTGCCACAAGTGCTTCCCCACTGGATAGGCCTTGGGGGGTCACAAAAGGCGCCACTATGAAGGTGGGGCACCCATTAACAACGGAGGATCTGGCAGTAGTAGTGCAGTGATGTCATCGGAAGGAGTTGGATCCATCGTTACCCACCACCGAGACTTCGACCTTAACAAGTCGGCTTCGAAGGAGTTCTGGCAGGGCTCTGGCTCCGGTGAAGACGAAATCGAGAATCCCCACCTTGCTAAAAGATCGTGGAGAAGTGTAGGAGGTAAGTGTTGAAGGAAGAAGGCACCTGCAAAAGGGTTTCAATAGGTGAACTCATGAGGAAATAATAAGGTTTTAGTGGTTTGGGCTGGTTCCGACCTGACCCACAATTATTTTAAATTTATTCTACCTGATCCAACCCGTGTTTATTCCTAAACCGACCCAACCCGACCCATTTCAGTTTGGGTCGGGTTGGTTTTTCGGGCTGTGGTTTTCGGGCCCAGTCCTACCCTTGACCCCACAAAACCGACGCAATGGATTGTGACGGTGGCTGCTCTCCAAATTGATTTTATTTATTAAAGTTTTTATTTTTGAAAAAAAAAAGGAAAATTAATATGGAAAAAGAGAACAAAATTTTTAGTTAACTAACGATTAGAATTTACTTGTTAGAGCTCAGTTGAAGTTAAATATATCAGATTTTTGTAAGATCAGCAGACGTGTATATCTTAGAACGATAAACACAATTTTTTTTCTCAACTTTTAATTGATTAATTGCTAGAAAAATTAATAGTAAGGTGAGAGGAAGAAGTTTAGAAGAAGTAATTGGCTTTTGACAAAAAGTACAAACGACGACGGTCAATGGTTTCTGCGATTGCAAATGACTTACTAACACCCTCAGCTAGTGTTGTAGCTTCGAATTTTGATTTTAGTGTGGTAAGAGGGTTCTGTCCAATGTTGGAGTCGACTGAAAGAAAATATTTTCGAAGTATTAATGTGCATGAATGATTGACAAGACGTTCATTTCCAATTGCAAGATAAGTATACCGAAATTGCGTATCGTCGGATAAGTCATATTTAATTTAACCATATTAATAAAATTTATTATTTATAATATCGTTTTAATTTTTTTGAAAAAATTGTATACGTAACAAGTTGTTTGTGTACGATTTTTAATTCTACCTACTTGAAATTTAATTAGATTGTCCCACACCCGAATAAAGGAGGGTTTTATCTTGAAAAAAAAAATGAAATTGGTGAGTTTGCTGGCCAAACTCGGCTTGGCCCACGAGCCACAAACTCGAAGGACGAGCTTGGCCCTTGAGGAACAACTCGAGCCTCAGCTCGTGGCAAGCATAGGCCAAGCTTGTGGGCAATAAGACTGAGCTGACTCGATTCAACTCGACCTGATCCATTGCCACCTCTAAAACCAATTCAATTAAAACTCCAATTTTCCAATAGAATTTGGGTCACGTAACAACAACATCAATATTGAAAATAAAAGTATTTTTTTTTTCAATTGAATTCAAGTCTAATCATTGAAGAAAATACTATTTTAAACGTTTTAATTAGAAAATACGATTGCATAAGAGTATCCAATTATATAGTTATCCGTTTGTCAAGCTTACACAGGATTATGTACATACGAATATGTACTGAGAGAGACCTTAGAGAAGGGAGAAGTAACTGGGTAGTCGAGATCTTAATGGAGAAAAGGAATGAGAGGAGCATTGTGATTTCTTGGTGTTTTATAATCCAATAAAAAATTTTGTTGGGTTTTCTGTATGAGACATTTGGATTTTAAATTTGAAGATAGCGTGGAAGAGAGGTAGGAGATGACACAAGAAATATAGATTAAGGGGAGTTGGAGTGTGTTGTGGGCTTTTCCATTTTTAACTTCCAAAAGATTTTAATTAAATCATTTAAATCGTTAGATTAACTTAAACAAAGGGTTGAAATTTTTGTAGTCAAAACGATTTGTCAAAAATCTTAGTAGAGAAGCCTGGTTGATAAATTTTACTGTCCTCGATCGATAGTAATTCTCAATTGCACGGAACTTCAGCATGTTCTTCCCTAAGATAAGCACTCAAATATGCTGACAGTTCACTGATTTCATGGCCTTTGTGGAACAACTTCATATATTATCAAACATTAAAAGATACGAAAATATATGAACTAGCCCCAAAATCTCCACTTACAAGAACTACGAGATCACATAAATGGTGCATATGACATTGAGGAGTCATGAATATAACTTTGTTCGAGAAGTTATAAAATCCCTATTTGAGCCATATTAAAATTTTCATTCTAATTTTTCTACTCATTTTTAATCATACATTTTTCAATAAAATAATATTTTTCATCGCATCAATAACTTTTTCTTCTTTTTCAACCACACATTCTCCATCAACCTACTATTCCAAAATGCATTCTTCCAAATTATTGTGGCTCAAACACACCCTAAATTTAGACAAATATACTGTTGTATATCTATAGTCCAAAAAAATATGTTAAAATAGTTTTATTATTTATTATTATTATTATTATTTTTTATGATTGTCTATTTTTGCAACTCTTTCCTAAGGGAGGATAAAAAAACCTGTCAAATTCGATAACCGCGGCCTCGTCCTGAATAGGGCAGGCATTACCCAATTAATCCAATATTCGGGTTGGGGACGAGGATGCCAATTTTGCCCCCGGACATGTATGGGGAACAAGTACCCCGCCCCGTTTAATTTAATTTTCTTTTTTAGAATTCAATATTTTAAATTGAAAACTTTACGAAATTTCATTAATTCTAATAGAAAATGGAAACTAAGATTATATAAAAAAATATGAAAAACAATAAAAACATTAGTTTATCAAATATATTTGAATAATTTAATTTTTAAAAATAAATTAAAAAATATATTATTGTTTCACTTTAATACATGGAGACAATAATATATATATAATTAAACGGATAGTAAATGAGGCAATGGCCCCGCCCTATCTCGCCTCACCTTAAAGGGGTAACGGGGCGGGGGCGGGGGTCTGAGAAATATAATTAAAAAAGTTTTAAAAAAATAAAATTTAAAGAATATGTACCAACAGGGGTGGAGCCAGAAAATATATTAAGCTGGGCTGAAATTATTTTTTCAATGAACTTGTACATTAAAAGATGTTCTAAACCACACGATAAAACAAAAATTGGACCCAAAATCGGGCAAAATCATGCCCAGCTAACTTATTATGACAAAACCGCTCAAAACCCACTGAACCGGTCGGTTCAACCGTAAACCGATGAACTAGTCGCTTTTTGGTGGTTTTCCTGATTTTTATTTTTCTTTTTTTAGTTTAAAATTTTTTAACTTCATGAATGGACCTCATAGATTATAATTCAAAGGCCTATAGAAAACTATTGAATGTCATGCTCATATTATATACGTACTTATCTCAAATGGTTTCATAAACTTCTAATGTGAGATAATGTCTTTTATAGATGCTCTTCTCTCCAATGGTTTCATAAAATGTCCATCAAAAATCATTTTCCAAATGTATGTCTAATTGACTAATTTGATTTTGAATCCAAACTAATTAAATTGTAATATTCACCTTCATCCTTTCGTTTATTTAATTTTCAAATTTAACTTAAATCACACTTGATTTTTAATATATTAATGTTATATATCATTTTCTATAAGTTTAAAACATTGATCATAATATATTTTTGAACACTCGTAACAATGTTCTAAANGGGCTGGGCTATAGCCCACCCCACCCCTCCCTCCGCCCCAGTACCAAAGTCACACCTATGTTGTAAACGGTAAAACTAAAAATTGACTGTAAAATATAGAAAGCCAGAGTCGAGCATTGACAAATGATTGCTCTGTAATTGTGGCTTAACATGCTGGAGGAGAGAGCTTTGAACTTGTGGACTAACTGATAAAATATACTGTGACAGTCAATTCAACTTTTGACAGTTTGATTTTAATAAAAGTTAGATATTTAGTAAATCTTGAATAAAGTTAATGAAATATGTAGTTAAAAAAATGATAAAAATCGTGTATTCTATAAAATGCGTGTTTAAATATGAGTTTTAAAGATTCGAGGCCGAACAAGTTCTTAGATTGAGATTCTAGTTGTATTTCAGCAAGTATTCAAGTTTATGCTTATTTGAAGTGAATGACCACTTTATATTTATTGATAGAATGTGAACAACAACTACAAAGCACGGTCGTGACTTGTCATGTCTAACTGTTCTCTTAGATGTCCCACGGGCTGACGGGCATGCATGATTTTAGTGCATTTCTACTGGATCTTGATGTGCTCAATGATATTTACCATCTCAATTATATTGTTTTACTGTTCTTTGAATTCGTATTAATTGATTTTCTTTTACGCAGCTAACACACTATTTCACGAGAATTTCTAGGAAATATGAGAAACGCATTACCTTCGTATTAATACACTAAGTCACTGCTTGATAGAGATTTTTTGAGAATATATTTGATAAAAATGATTATTATTTTTAGAATGTGTGGTTAGAAGTAGAGAATAGTTATGGATCCACGTAAAAACATGAAGGCAATGGGCCAGAAACAATTGACAAAAGGGAACAATACATAAATAAGGTATTTAAGTATCACAATTTCAAAATTAAGGTTTGAGGTTTTAAATTTCAAAAATCAGGTTTTCATTAAAATTTATTTATAATTTAATTAATAAATTATATATTTAATTAATAAATATATAAAGGTCACAGATCTATACAATTTGGTCACAATTCAAAAAATTAAAGGTCACAATTCATAAATTTTATAGGTTTGGGGTCACAATTCAAAAATTTTAAGGTCACAATTCAAAAATTTTATAGGTCACGGTTCGTTCATTGGTCACAAATTAAAAATTTAAAAGTCACAGTTGTTCATCGGTCA